CGTAGGTCTCCAGCACAAACCACACAGTGAACGGCTGGGGATATAAAGCGTTTTTCCCACTTAGCAACAGCCATTTCAGGAGTGGCCTAACGACTGCATCCGGGCTTACGAATGACCAGAATCACCAAAACACAGATTTATTTATTTTTGATTACAGCTTGATTCCACACTGTATTTTCGGTACAGCACGGATATCAGTAGCCCAAATTTTGCAGGCCGACCATAGATATCAGGTGTGCGTCGGCAGGGGATTGAACTTCGGACCATGTGCATGGTCGGCGAGTGTCCTAACCACTGTGCCACCGACGCACGAAGGAATAACGCACCTCGGAGATCAGAGGCTTAAGTGCGTTTCCAATTCTTTTGGCTTTGAGTTTGTTGTTCATCAATTTGTTTACCACAGTCTGAGGTTAATGCAGCGTCCATGGAAAGCCTTAAATGGACGCTGAATAAAGATGCAACGACAAGATGACTATGCCCAAATGGACTATTTCTTTTAAAACTCACGCACCACACTCTGTTAATCGGTGCATATCCAAACTATTGCTTTACCACTGCCTATTCTCCCTTGTCTCGCTCTTCCGACATCTTTGCCTATTCACTTACTTATCTTATCTAGTTTTTAATAATTAAATTTCATCGCCTAATCATTTGTACTTTTTTATTTATAAGTTTGCTCGACCTGTAATTATGATACTTGTTGTGATTACTACTTATGTTAAGGTTATCGTACTTACGGTTACGCAGGATGGATGACAGGTTAGAGGACAGAATATATTCACAGCAGTGACATATTCTTAACACAACGCTTACTACAAACCACAAATAACCAATCTTAACACCGCTAACCTTGGAGTAAATAAAAGCTACGACAGTAGAGTCACGAGACACACTACGCAGGATTTTACCAGATATCTATAAACTTTGCCCTGAAAACAAGAAGTGAGCATAAATAAATCATTTCGGTTAGCACTAGCTAGTAGAAACGACAATGGATTTTGCAGACTACTTACAGCAGGCAACATATAAGCAACCAGTAATAGCACTTACTTCAGGATGTAATAAAGCTATGGCAGGTGGAAGACAACAAAAATTAGTCCAGGTATTTACCTCGGCTACTTAACGTTAAGGTCAAAGAAAGCAGTTCGGTTTTCACTGGCTGGTAACAAAGCATTGGATATTAGGCTGGTGTCTACGACTGACCTTGATATTTTCCGAGTTATTTTGAGATAACTCTCAACCGTACGTCTTTTGTGGAGGCTTGTGGGTTTGTACCCTCTGTTGACATGCTGTTTTTAATTTATGTAACACAAGTAATTCTAATGTCGGAAAAGTTAAAAATCTTTTCTCTGGAGGTATATAACTATGGATGCCATAGGCAGATGTAAATCTGAGGAAGAGCAGCTGTTTTTTTATCCTACCATGGTATGGTCGAAATCGGCTTTTTAACACAGACTTGGGTCCTTATGCAACACCAAGCACTTTTTTATAGTCAGCGCTGCCATAATCATTTAGAGTTATTATCTGGTCCCACTGTATCAATCTTCTGAAATTGCAGAAATATAAGCAGCCTCTGGGATTTCATGTAGAGTTTACTGATTAGCTTTTATTTCACATCATTTCTAAAGTCTGTGTGACTAGGATCAATCGACCCATCGCGAATGTCACAGTCCCACTAGCTTTTGCTAGTTTTCAATTGCAGGTTATCGTTTTTCTTCACCACCGAATTAGGTGTGCTTTAAGGTTCGGATGTAGACGTTACATTCTTATCTGTAACCTGGACGCAGAATGACTTAATTGTAACTTTTTCGGGCGCCTTGTAGGCTGCTGGTGTATATGAAGGAGCTAGGATCGCCTGATTTCTCCAAAGTTTCCTAATGGACCCGTTACTCTATCGATGACGTACAGCACAAAGACTTGCTGTCCGTAGTCATTATACTATTTTGGCAGCCATGCATTCGGAACCAAACATAGGGTTGTAAGAGTTTTAGGTTTTATTAGAGGTCTTGTTCGCTCTCCCTCTGAACTGTCCATGTTTTTCGAGTTCACTACTAGCTAGGCGATGTTTGGGAGTGTGTCGACCGGGGATTATATCTAGCTCACGCGCGTGGTTATCCAGCATGCCATTATTTGACCACCGACGCGCGGAATGTGTCGCTTATATTCGTGATTCTCATAGCTGATCCTCTAAACCACAAGGAAGTGATTATCACTAATATAAGGTACTATTCTTGATGTGGGTGAATGCTTATGCCACATAGCCACACTCTCACTGGACATCATGTTCAAAGTTATTTCTGCTTAAAAGCTTGTAACTATGCGTGACAGTTGTGAAAGCTGGTCGCCTTATCTCCTTTAGACTTGACAATACCCTTAATGTGTCTTCTCGAATCTGGTCGTACCTAGTTGAGTTTTATGCTGCAAACATTTGCCGATCATATTTATCCTTTAATTACTCCAGGAATCTGCCAGTGAGTACGTAAGCGAAGAGTGCTGTAAAGACCTCTTTTGCGATCCTATCTTGTTGTTACAAACCCATCTAACAGCGTGAAATAAAACTCCACTGAAATCCAGCCGAAAGTTTAGTTTTCGGTTGCAGACCTTAATGCCATCCACATATCTGTGAGTCTGTAAAAACCTAACATAGAACACCATGCTATCTGTAGGGCAGATACAGCTAAATAGGTTCACACTAATCAACACATCTGGGTCTTGTATGCTTGCAAGGTGAAAGAAGCGTATGAAAACTAATAGCCTTTGTAGAAAGTGGCAGTGAAGTTTGCAAAGAAAACGAAATGAGCAAATAATAGACACTTAATCTTTGCATCCAGTGTTTTCCAGCTTTCCACTGAATTACAAATTTACTAAAGTCAGCTTTTTATAATACGACAAAGCTTAGAGTTACACTAGTCGATAGGAGAAATTCGCACCTGTTATTACACACTAGAACAAAGAAGAATGTTTTCTTTCTACTGTTCAGGATATTCACCGTCACCTTAGGCTTTGTTTTCAGATTACTAGTACTAACGGTGATGAGTCGTTTCGATTTCAACTCTGAAATTTACTTCCTGGAAAGAAAATATCTTGTTTCTGAGTACTCAGATTCTGTAGTCTCCTGGGGTGTAGCAGTTTTTAAAGTAAAATTACATTTAATCTCTGTGAGAACCAATGTTTGTATGTTTGGCATATATATCTCCCTCAAATAAATGTAGCATGATGCCACAAAACCGGTCTTCACCAAATTCTAGTTCAAAAATATTATATAGTTATGTTGCTAGGTGTGTTGATCATCTCACTTATGTCGGAAGCTTTGTCACCCCTGATAAAGTGGTTGCTGATGAGGTCTCAGAATATACGGAGAACGTCCACCAGGTGCTTTCTAGCCTGCCCTTAACGATATATCCTGCCAATTACTAAATACCACTTGCAATGCTTACTAGTTTATTTCACTGTTCAATTGCTTATGTTTTCTCATGTGTCCTGTGATTTTCAAGTGTAAAATCTTGTACTGATTCACTTCCGTGAGTAATTTCGTATCAAATTTGTTAACCAACCGTTACATTACGATGAATGTTCGTCTAAACATGTCAAATAATAATAATAACAGCTTTATTCCAAACAGTAATTGTGGTACAGGTATGGAATTTTCAGCGTGCATTACAATAGTGCATCTAATTACCCCATTAATTTTATAAGATTCTAAAATCAAAAAGCAACAACCATAAAAAAATAGATAAAATAAAAAAAAGCAGCGTTGCGTTTACATTTTAAACAATGCACCACAGGATATGAAATATAAAATTAGTGTGTAATAGGAGATGTGAACAATAACATAATAGTAACGAAGAAAAGAAAACAAAAACTAATGGGAACTATTTGTTAGAGTGCCGCAGTAAGTTGATCGTGTCACACCTAACGGATTCCTCACCACATAACAGCTGTTCCAGATATGGTATTGTGGAGTTTTTGTACTTGGTAGTCCCAGTATATAGCCTCCTATAGCTGCTTCTAGTTCTACCCGATGAAGTGTAAGGAGAGAGCTGCGTATGGAGAGGATACTCGGGGTCTAACAATATAGTATTCGCTAGTTTCTTACGTGACATTATGTATCTATCCACAATAGTATTAACCAGTTGGTTTAACGATATCCCACTTGCCCTACTAACAGCTTTTAGTGCCCTTCTCAGCAGAGCAAAGTCTCACTTAAGTGGTCCAGGAAAGATTAATGGGGAGAAGTAAAGAGGGATGGGTAGAATACAAGAATTGAAAAACTGAGAAGAAAGCAAAGACTGCTTCATACCAGACTGCCTTAACTTCCTAACGTAGAACGTTAAGCGAAACATCTTTCTAGTAACTAGCAAGATGTGGGAGGGCCAGGAGAGATTGGAGGAAATACTCAGTCCAAGGTACTTGACATTAGATGTAATTTCAACCTCTATGCCGTCAATGGTAGTGGGGCCATGTAAGCTAACTAGTTGTTGTAGGTCATGTTTACATCTGAAAGTGAAATTGACTACCTGACATTTAAACGGATTCAGCTTAAGACCGTTTGATGAGAACCACTGACTAATTTCCGACAGAAAGTTATTTAAATTGGAACAATCTGACTGAGAGTTGACAGGCATAGAAAGAGAGGTCATCAGAATACTTGACAATAGTGGCTACATCAGAATGGGGCAAGTCATGTAAGATAAAAGAAAACAGAAAGGAGGAAGAACAGCTTGACTGCATGTTACCATCAAAGTCAGAACTGAAGCCTTTTATTTTCACTGTAGGCATTATCTCTAAAAGTTGTAAAACAAATTTATGCGTTCAGAAGTTTCAATTTACGTCAGTTTTACAGTTTTTTTAAAATTATAGAACGTTGTGTTTCCACTTTAAACCACTTATCATTATTCTGCACATTTTATGCACGCCATGATGTAATGATCACTTTTGTATCGTAAGCCTTATCGTAATCTCTTTCTGCTTTTTTTAAAAAATAATGTTTTCATTTTCAGATGCATAAATTTACTTTTCGTTTTCCGTCAAGATTCCAAAAATATTTCAATGGTCCTAAAAAACTGAGTATGCTGTATTTCCATTCACTTATAAGCTATTTTTAGTGTTTGTTACAAATGTCCCAAAGAAGGTGTTTAAATTTCGACCAATTTGGGCGACATGTGGCCTATTTAGTGCATATTTTGGCTTTTTATTCCTTACCGACACAGAAGATACACCAGAATACTATCCGCGTTATTTCAGCGTAAGTGTATTTTGCCAACAAAAAAATGTTTTGTTTAGAATGCTCAGTCAAATATCTATAGTTCTCATGATAGTCCTCGATAGATTTTACTGAAAAGCCTCACATTTTGGTAAATTATCGTATCAGCTACTGAAAAGTCGCCGTGTAAGAGTAAAAGCTAGTCACTTAAATAAAGTGTAACTCGATATTAGATATAACACAGAGTGATACAGTGTTGACGAGTGAATGATGTGTTTGGTCTGTCTGTCTGTCTGTTTTAGACATATAACCTTGCACCAATGTGCAGCAGTTCAAGTCGTCATCACCGATGATATATGTCTGATTTTTCACAAACTAGAAGATATGCAAGTGAAATGCAACAAGTTGGCAGAAGAAGAAGCATCCAGAGAAGATAAGACTTCAGGTGAACATAGGAGAAAACAGAGGTGATGATGAAGATTCCTGGCCAACAACAACAGCAACAATAACAACAAAAGGCAACAATCAGCCAGCATAAATGAGAGAAATCTGAAAGAAGCAACTTCCCTTACCTACCGACCTGGGAAACATCGTTTCAACTACAGGCCGACCGAACTGATAAGGATATCAAAGCGAGGATAGGGAAAACAAAGCAAGCTTTCATTACTCTAAAGCCTGTATGGAGATCAACAGCACTACTCAGCATGAAAAATAAGATCCGGGTTTTGAACTCTAATGTAAAGTCAGTGCTACTTACTATACGGATCAGAGACTTGGGGCACTTCGAACAAACTACAAACCTTCATCAACAGCTGTCTTCTCTCAGTACTCAAGATCAGATGGCCGGCCACAAAAGAACAGCAACAGAGATATCTAGGAACGAACCAACTAGGGACCGATTGCGCAACAGAGATGGATTGGAGGCCATATTCTGCGAAAACAAACTATCAAGTGACATCACATGCCAGGCCATTGCTCGAGTGGAACCCGAATGGGAAGCGGCGAGTTGGTCGTCGTTGTGAGGGTTACATGGATGAGGAGGTCATGCGGAGAGATGAAAGCATGTGGGCAGACATGAAACCAGGTGAAAATGTTGGCGGAGTACCGAACGGAATGGAGACGTATGGCTGAAGCCCTGCCTATGTCCCTCTAGGAACTAAAGGAAACAATAAGAATAATATAAAAGTGAAGTAACTACTGTTAAGTTTCATATTATATATATATATATATATATATATATATATATATATACGATAACTATATTCATCTCCATATACTTGGCAATAAACTATAGCCATTATGTGACACCTAATAATGCTAAATATAGCTTCCTAAAACCTTGGCTTAGGTGTGCTTGGATCCACTAGTTAGAAGGAAAGTCCCTGTAATAATGACTCTTAGTCTGAAAAGTTACAAAGCACGCTTAAGTTCATATAACGTTAAAGTTTACGATACTGTTTAACTGCTTAAACACTGTTGATCATTAGGTGTCACATACTTGAACCAGCATTGCATTACTCAACAGTTAAAATGTTTTAAACGTATATTTTGATTGTGCTTGATGTATTGTGATATGAAGTGTTAAATTAAACAACAAAAGTGTGTAGGTTGTTATTTTCAGATTTGTGTGCTGATTCATAAAAAAACCATAGATAATTATATTTTACATCATTCTTATTTTATGTTCTACTGCCCCCTTGAGTTCTGAATGAAACATAGGGCTTCAACAATACATCTCCACTTTGTTCTATTTTCTGCTGTCCTCTTCAGCTGCCTAGCTCCACAATTGTCCACAATCTGTCATCTCCTCCTCCCCAACACACGATCTCATTCATGTCACCCTTGCGTTGACGACACACTCGTCGCTTCCCACTTAGATTCCACTCGAGCGATGGTCTGCATTGCATGCGGTGTCATCCGACAGCCTCCTCAACGTATTCCCCACCCACCTCAACTTTCTCCGACATAGATATTGACCAATCGGCTCTTGGCTGGTTTGTTGCCAGGCAGAGTTTCTTGTTGCTAATTCATTCTGGCCGGCTGGCCATTTGATCTGCATAGTAAAGCCAGCGACGTGGGCAACTGCTGATGAAAGTCTGCAGCCGGCAGTTAGAAATGCTTTTCGTGACACGTAGTACGAGTTTCTGACCCATACAGAGAAACACTCACTGACTGAATCCTGTTCTTTCTGCTGTAGAACACAGAAGATTCTCAAACTGATTTCAAAGTGATGAAAGTGTATCTTGCCTTTCCGATTCTGGCTGGCTCGTGTTAACATCTTCGTCCGTTCCGACTGTCTGCGACTGGAACGATGCTGCCTATATAATAAGGGAAGGAGAAAGGGGTTACCCCTCTCAAATCCCTCCAGTTGATAGTGGTTTGTGCTATTTGTTGTTATTGTTCTTGTCTTTCGTCACTGATTTGACCTATATTGTCAATGACTGCATCTCTAAATTGTCTCAATCTTCCGTAAGTACTAGCTAGACGTTCATCTTTGTTGACTGGGAAGTGATGCAGTTTTTTAAAAAGACGACTTCTATCCTTTTAAATTTCGCCTTATTTTACCTGCTTCTTCTTTCCCCCCTTTTTTGTTTTACTATATTGATAGGCAACTATCCTACGATATTTCCCGTTGAATGGTCTATCTAAAGTTTGGGGTCGAATTGCTCAATGTTATATTCCAGAGCCATTAAGACCTATTGTTTATCATTCATATGCTAAATTTTTCCAATGTGATTTAAATGAAGTGGAAAATCCTAATTTAAAAAGTTATTCGTGTTTATCAGAATTTTTTATCCGTAAAATTTCTGCAGAGAAAAGACCTATACACCAAACAGCAACTTTAGTAAGTGATATACGCCAACACACACATACTGAATGTGTTTTTTCACTTTCATTCTCATTTTTTGTAAAAAAAAGTTGATTATATTTCAGTTGTCTTTGTAGAGTACTCTCAGTTTTATATTTAAAAAACAGGTTTTGAACACTTTGTTTCACTAATAATCAAGTTAAGCGTTACTGAATTTCTTTTTGTGGTGTTTGAAGCGTCAAAACAGGACCTTATCATTGGTCACAGGATTTCATCATGAGCTGACACTGGTTAGAGAACCATTGGACACCCACCTGGGGGTACTGCCAGACAGCTGTTTCCTCAATCCTAGTTTGGGACTCTTCATCAGTACACACCCACCCCGAGGGTTCGAACCCAGGACTTTCTGGTTACAAGGTGAGCGAACTCGTAGACCATTAATTCTAATTTCTGCCGATTCATGACATCGCGCGACAGCTAGCCAATGTCATTCCGTGGCGAGTATTTATCCTCACACCCGACATGCTGTGCACTCTACTGGTCACAACTTCCCACGGGAACCTACCTGAATAGGGTCAGTCACCAGTGAGCCAAGTTTTCCAATGGTTCTCTATCCAGTTTCAGCTCATGATGAAATCCTGTAACCAATCAATCAAACCCCTATAAACCAATACACGATACTTAAGGGTCATTTGATTCAGTTGAACAGCAGAGGTTAAAAATGAGTCTGGTCATGAATAGGGATAAGAACAGACTTAAAAGGTTGATAATTACATTGTCAGATGGTGATCACAACTCAGCTAGTTTTATTATACCTCATGTAAAAAAAAAGATGGAGTGGAGATGTGTCTTTTTCCTGTGTGCATGAATAATCCTGGTTCTTCATCTAAACACCAAATAGTACTGGGCAGGGGTTGTTTCCTCAGTTCTACTTTGGGACTCATCCGCAGTTTTCCATCTGATTAGCAAACGCCTCAACGATGTAAACGTTCACGAGAGCATACCATTCTTCGGAAGGCTTCTTTTTCAATACAATTAGTCCCTTTTGATAAATTTCGTTAGTGTTGTCATCAGAAGACGGATATTATCTGAAAAAAAACTATGCGATGTATTTACACACAAGACACACTGCGAACAACAATCTCATCCCTCCCTCACATATTTCTCTTGTCAAGTCCATTTTATATTTACACGAAATACTAATAAAAGGCAAATTAAGGTACACAAAGTGACAAAAACGCATCTGAGAATAATAATAACGAGAATTAACACAACAATTAGATAAGGAGAATCACTATGATAGATTAAGAGGTGTTAATAAATTTCATACATTTACTTCCCTTCACTAAGTTTCAATAAAGAAAGTGAAAACCAGTTCCCCTTGTAACCAGAATGTCCTAGGTTCGATCACCTTTAGGTGGGTGTGTACTCCTGAAGAGTTAGTCCCAAACTAGGCTGACGAAACAGCCGTTTAGTACTCCCTGTCTGGTTTTCCAATGTGATGAGGGCTGGCTGCTAGCCAAATTGGTAGACGGTAATTTACGTCAATGCTTACGTCCCCAATGTTGTACTTGAGAAAAATAAGAACAAAGGCTGACTCAACAACCAATCACAGAAGACTTTGCGTAGGCGGATAAAGTTAGCATACAGATGATCTGACATTCAAGAAACAGTCATAAAGAGATGAAAAATTAACGTTTGGCGAAAAACCACTAATCACAAGACTGTGTTTGTTTGCTTAAAATAATCTATAATAATGTACGTGAAAATATATAAATATGTGTTGACTTCCTAAATAAACGATCTGTTACTTGGCCCTTGCCTTCTGTTGTTACACCAATGGTTCTCTAACCGATGTCAGCTCATGATGAAATCCTCCAACCAATCAAACAAAAAGAAGCACCCTACAAACCAATACTTGAAAAACAGAAAGACCAGATTTGCAGTATACGGCGTGATATCATCGCTGTGTTTCACAGGTTCTCATCAGCTAACTGCAAACCACTACCTGAAATTACAATGGTTATAAGTAATGAAAATAACATGCTTGAATGTTTGAATAGTAGTAGAGGAAGAGCATACGAGTCATTTCGTCGAGATTTTCAAATCCTTCAAAATAATAAACACATAAAGGGATCCAATGAATCAGCTAACCGTCGAGCTATCTTGTGGCTTGGTGAGTTGACCATTGCTAGTATGGGTCCAAAGGGCATATTGGTCTTATTGTCGGTGGAGGCTCAGTGGTAGAGTGTTAGCCGACTAGGCATGTGGTCTAGAGTTCTATTCCCCTCCAGCGCACATCTTTAGTTCATTTGTCTCCCGCTCAAAGGAGAAGCAGTATCACAAAACAATTGACAAGAGAATGAAGGGAGCAATAAAAAGATGCTTCCCTATGGCTAAGCTGGTAACATTATGTCCTACCACATCATCTATACACAAATCCAAACTGGATAAATACCCTACTAAGGTCACCTCCTACTGAGTCCATAAATTCACGTGCACTTCCAAGAGCAAGTACATTGAATTATAGAAAGAAGGGCTTCCATCCGGTTTTCAGAGTATATCCCAAGAGACTTATGTCTAAAAGGACGCAGATATCTGCAAAGTGCAATTACCAGACACCTTTTGGAAAGGGATCATTTCATCAAGATTTCTAAATCCTTCAAAACATTAAACATACAAAAGACAGTAAATTTACTAAGATTTGCTGTAATCAGGCGTTTCAGACCAAACTCATGCATACAGAAAAAGAGAGTGTAGAGTCAATCTCTCACTCACCGCCTTGGTAACTAACCTACATTCTGATTACATTGATCAGTCATCCATATGGGTGATTTCAACTCACTGAGCAATTTTTCAATTTTAGGAAACATAACCACCTTATTGAGTTGCACTGTCAACCTACAAGCTGACACTCTTTATTAGATTTTTCTGTTTTCTTTCATCTACCCCTCCCTTTAAATTGACGGTAACTTAAACCCAAAAAATTGCAATGCTCACAAACAAAGCAACAGGAAGACGTAATTTGTCTGGATCGTGTAATGTTGTATTTGCGCAACACAATTCGATCAATCTGATCATACTCCAGGAACTTGTCATAGGAATATATAGGAAATCAATACAGTTAAGTGGTGAGAAAATAAATTTAGGTCAAGTTAAAAGGACTCATTGAAGGTGAAAATAACAACAATGAAGATCACTTAACCAAATAACACAGGTAATAGTAAATCTACCATGGCTGGTATCAAAACAAAGTTTACCAAGGAACGTGGTTTAGTGTGCCATCCAAAGCCTCAGGATGGTCGGGGGTGGGTGTCTTGCGCTGCGGGTTGGCCACCCCTCCGCACACCTCTTGAAATGCTCCCATATGACCGTGCGTCTTACATAGCCTCTCCTGAGGAAGTCCTACTCACTGCCTTCACGTGGCGGAGGTGTTTCTCACTAAAGTGAGAGGGCAAAAGCGGATGCCCGGCGCTCTCCACCGGGTTGACTGTCCATTGGATGACAGTCTAGGGGAGATGGCTAAACCCTGATTCCAAACCTCCAACGACTGGCGTATGAAGCTCACTGGAGCTCACCGGCAGACGTATGGACAAAGGGCTTGTTGGATGTCCTGGATGTCTGGCCCCATTCAAAAAGGCGTATGAACCGAACTCCGGTCACCGGCTGCCAATGGATAGTGGACTCCTTACTCCACTCCTACTGCCTTGTAGGTCACACTTGGCTGTGTAAAGGCTAGAGCTGCACTCTCAAACAAAAGGCCGAGCGATGCTGGGGACATCACTCGTACCAAATTCCCAAGAAACTTCATGAACTCTCCTACAAACAACTCTCACCATGCTACGGCGTTCCCGGTAAGCGACGCGCCCTGTGCTCACCCGGTGGCCAGTGTGAAAAGTAAGCTAGCTGGGAAATTAACACTTAGAAACCAACTATTTGTTGGCTGCTGGAATGTTAGGACGCTGTTGGATCCTGGTAGCCAGTCTATCACCATGCGTTCTTTATATGACTACAAGGTAGACATAGCGTGTCTATCTGAAGTGAGGTTACCCGATCATGGCTCCCGCCGAATAGCCGTTCCTGGAACAGATTCTTCATTCTGGTTGCTTCATAGTGGCCCCCAGAATAATTCGGGACAACATGGGGTAGCATTTGCTCTCAGTAACAAAGCCAATAATGCCCTAATATCATTCGAACCGGTCAACTCCAGAGTTGCAGTCGCTAGGTTCAAGGGTTCCCCGCTCGACATTTCTGTTCTCGCTGTCTATGCCCCAACCCTCGACTCTGATGAAAGTATCAAAGACGAATTTTATGACAATCTTCAAGAGGCAATCAACAAAATCCCAAAGCGTGACGTTCTCATAGTAGCCGGCGATTGGAACGCCCGCACTGGCCCTTCAGACGACGCGACAAAACATATACTAGGCAAACACGGTCTCGATCAGCGCTGCCGTAATGGTGATAGACTTTTATCTTTTTCTGATTACAATCGATTATATATCACCAACACTCGATTTCAACACCCCAGAAAACATCTTCTCACCTGGTATTCGAACGACGGTCGCACTGCACATCAGATCGACTACATCCTAGTGCGCTCACGCTGGATCTCCTCGGTGGAAGACTGTCGATCCTATCGTGGAGCAGAGGCCGGAAATAAAGGGGGATCAGACCATACTCTAGTTAGGGCGAAATTCAAACTTCGTTTAACGACACGCCAGAAGACGCGACCTCCGAAGCGTATCAATGTTGCCCCGCTTCAATGTTCTACAAGACGACAAGCCTTGTCCAAACAAATCCAGGCCGAACTAAGCACCGCAGATGAACCAACATCCACATCTTCTAATACACCCGAGACACGATGGAATCATTTCAAAGAAGTAGTCTCTAAAGCTTCAATGTCGCATTTGGGTACCACATCCAAGAAGCAGAAAGACTGGATTTCAGAGCACACCATGCTTCTATCCTCGCAAGCCAGAGACGCTCGCCTAGCAAAGTCTCCAGTTTATCGCTCCCTCAGGCGCAAAGCTACACAG